GGGCGTGGGGCCCCCTTCCCGTCCGAGGGGCGCCGGGCCGCCCGGGGGCGCGCGGCCTCGGCTGTCCAGCGAGGTAGTGTTCTGTGTCGCGACTGCTCTGTTCAGTCGGGGCTCCGCCCGCGCCCCGGCTCTCGAGGGGACGCCTTCAGAGCCGTGCGCTGCCCCGCGGAGCCCACCGGCCGGGCGGGCACGGTCCCGGGGCCCTGTCTCCCGAGCGCCGCCTCCCCGGCCCCGGGCGCTTCCTGCCCGCGACCTGGCAGCCAGCTCTCCGCTGCGGCTCCGGAGGCCGCGGCCCGTGCCAGTCCGTTTTCCCTGGTGGTCCCACACTCGGTGCCTGGCACCCACCCCTCAGCGAGGCGGGAGGGGCGTTTCGGTTTGAGGGCTCGGGCCTTGCTGGCTCCACGGCAGGGACATGGAGGCGAAGTTCGCGGTGGGGCAGAGCTGCTCAGTCCACGGGCAGAGGGAAGCAGAGCAGGGCACAGACTGCCCCAGGCCTCGGCCCCAGCCCACGCCCACACACCAGGGGTGCGCTGCACCCACCCTCGCGAAGCTCCCCGCAGCCCGCAGCCCACCCTCGCCCAGGCTGCAGGGGACTGGCAGGTACAGCACTGGCTCTACGCTGTAGCTTCACTTCGGGCTGCCCTCAAACGATTCTGTTTTTCTTCAACCCTTCTGTGAGTTTATGTTGCTAAAAGCAGTTGGCAGTGCCGCTCTTCGTGCTTGGGTCTCCGTGTTGGCGTACTGGGCACTGAACCCAGGGGCTTAGTGAGCACATCCCAACCCCTTTCCCTTTTATGTTGTTATTTTGAGTCTCCTTCAATTACTCAGACTGGCTTTGCAATTGCAGTCCTCCTGTCTCAGCCTCCAGAGTAGCTGGGGTTATAGGTGTACACCACCACACCTGGCTTGTCCAGGCTGTTTTGTTCCTCTGGAAACGGTTGCAGTGAGTAGTTAAATATCATTCAAGGCCTCCTAGGTAGCCCAAGACACAGGCTGGGGGGATGGCATGCAGCTGCATGCCTGGCACCACTGCCTGTGGAGTAGAGGTAGTGACATTGAGCGTGACGCTTGGTCGTTGGGTTTAGGTTCCCTTGGAGAATGAAGAACAGGTGGTTCTCTGAGGTAGTGATGGGCCTGTCTGCATGGAGGTGCCACAGGAAGGGGAGCTCTCCACACAGTGGCTCAGCTTCTGGAGGGGTGTTGGGGTGGCAGGACGGGAGGCTGTGGTCTGTCTGTGCCTGCTGCCAGTCACCACATGGCTTCTCCTTCCTAGACAAGGAGTCACTTTGTCACCCAGGATCCTGTGTCTTATTTTGTGCTGGTGTGACAACCCTGCCACAGCACCTAGTGCATGGGGACCTAGTGTCCCCTCCCGGGGGTGTAATGGTGTCTGGAGACACCACCTTCAAATCCCGATCTCTGGCCAGACTGCACAGAACGTTCCAGAAGCCTCTGGGTTGCCACGCTGCTGTGTGAGTGCCCTTGGACCACTGGCTGGGGAGATGAGGTGGGAATGCAGTAGGCACCAAGTGTGTTCCAGTCCAGGTGACTGAGGAGGTTGGTCATTTCCCCATTTCTATCGCTAAATAAACTGTCCTATTCATTGGCTTTTTCAACAAGTATTTGTTAAGAACCTGCATGGGACCTCATATGTATTGTGTTTATATTTCTCCATCTGGCTTTTGTTCGTGTTTCTTGTACGTTTATTTATTGACATCTTGTTGTTTTTCCTCAGTGCTTTGTATGAGTTTATTTTGGTTTTGGTTTTTTGAGACAGTCTCGCTGTGTAGTTCAGGCTGCTCTTGAACTCACTATGTAGCCCAGGCTGGCCTTGAGCTCACAGTAATCCTCCTGCCTCCACCTCCTGAGTGCTGGCATTATCAGTGTATGCCACTTTGCCCAGCTTATATGCATTTTGGGTTTTTTTCCCCAGTAATGGGGACTGAACTCAGTGGTGCTTGACCACTGAGCTATATTCACAGTCCTTATTTTTTTATTCTGAGACAAGGTCTCCATAAATTGTCCAAGCTGGCCTCAAACTTGCAATTCTCATGCTTCAGATCCCAAGTAGCTGGGATTATAGATGTGCATCAGTGCACCCTGCATGTGTGAGTTCTTCATAAAACTTTGTAACTGTGCTCCAGTGCTTTTTCCTAGAAGAACTTCATAATGCAGAAAGTCTTTTGTACAATTAAATTTGTGATCTAGGGAATTTGAGTGCACTTAGGTGGAATTAGAATTGTGTCCTTTTAAAGTGGTTAGCGTTGCTTGGGCTGGGGTGTAGCTCCGTGGTAAGCACTCACCTGGCATGCATGAGACCCCCGGGGGTTCCAGACTTAGCACCCCAGGGGGAGAGTTTAACTTGCCAGAGGAGTGAGTTAAATGTGAGTTTTAACTTGCAGCTGTCAGAAAAAACACTGTGGAGAGAGCTTAGAATTTTACAGCTGACTTTAATATTCAATGTGATTGTTTTATGAATTAGCTCACTGCTCCATCATTACACTGGTCTTTGCAAGTCAGTATCATGAGAGCTCCGATTCATAAACCATAGTGATGCAGCTGAGCAGCCAGGTGGCGCTGGCTTTTGCTCTTTTCTTGGCATTAGGTCATATGCTGTGGTCCAGAGACAGCTCTGCAGGGCTGTCCTTTAGTCAGTCGTGCTTATCTGGCGAAGTCCCCATAAAAGCCCAAAGAATGGGGTTCAGAGGTTGAGCATTTAGAAGTGCATCAGAGCCAGGTGCGGTGGCGCACGCCTGTTATCCCAGCACTTGGGAGCCTGAGGCAGGAGGATCGTTGCGAGTTCGAGACCAGCCTGGGCTACAAAGTGAGCTCAAGACCAGCCTGAACTGCATAGCAAGACCCTGTCTCAAAAAGACAAAAAAAAAAAGAAATGCATCAGGACATGGCAACCCTGCGCCCCTCCTTTACCTGGCCTCTGCACCTCTCCGTCCATCACTGTGTAAGATCCTGTGTAAGCCCATGTGTGGTAGCGCATGCCTGTAATCCCAGCACTTGGGAGGCTAAGGCAGGAGGATTGCTGCCAGTTTGAGTCCAGCCTGGGCTGCTACAAAGTGAGTTCAAGGCTGAGTTCAGCCTGAACTGCATAGTGACATTCTGTCTCAGAAAAAGACAAGAAAGAAAGAAAGAAAGAAAGAAAGAAAGAAAGAAAGAAAGAAAGAAAGAAAAAAGATTCTGTGTAATAATGTAGCAAACACTTCCATGAGTTCTGGGGGCCCTTCAGTAACTGAACCCAGAAATAGGATGTGGTTTATAGCCTGCAGGTTAGAAGCTCATGCCAAAGCTGAGTGTGGTGGTGACTCACATGTGTAATCTCAGCCCCCTGGGAGGCTGAGGCAGGAGGATCTCAAGTGCGAGCCCAGCCTACTCAGTGTAACAACTTCATGAGACCCTGTCTTAAGGAGAGAAAAGAAAAAAAATCACAGGCCACACACTGGGCTGCAACTGGTGTCTATGGTGGGTCCACTTGAGGACTGCATGTGTACCCTATGGGGTCTGCCATGACCTCAGGGTGTGGATGGAGTCAGAACTGCACTGAGCAGAGCCTCCAGTGGATTTGTGTGGGATGTAGCCACCCACACCTGGGATCACTGTCTGTGTTGTGAGTGTACAGCAGGAGAAACCGAGTCTGAGGAGGAGCTGTGAGGTCAGTGTAAATCGGTTTGGGAACACCTGCTGGATTGGTGCAGCACAGAGGGTGTGTCTGTGCATGATTGACACATGCACTGCACTGGGAAAGACCCGCCCCAGATGTTGGTACCAACCAATAGGTTTCCAGCTGACTGGAATAAAAGGGGAAAGAAGGAAGTCTGTGCTGTGCTACTTTGGAGGAGCTCCAGTTTTCACCATCACCTTTGGACGGCCATCTGCAGTTCCTCGGATTTCCAGTACAGACCCTTCTGCTTTCCAGCACAGACTCGCACCAGACTGCTGCGAGTGTCAGTCCTCTGACCTTTGCCAGGATCCCAGCTCTCCAGCACGCAGACAGCCATTGTGCATTCTCCCACCTGACTCCGCAGCCACTGTAAGCGTTTTAGTATCACATATATGCATACGTTTTGTATTAACTGTTTTCTCTAGTGAGCCCTAACTGATGCGGTTAGCCCCACAGAAGTGCGGTTGCAGCTGTGATGCTGCCTGGTTCAGAACCCTTTGGAACTGGTTTGCAGGAAGAGTGTGGAAAGGTTTGGAGATTCCAGCTGGAAAAGCAGCCCTAGGGTGCTGTCAGCTGAGCTTGATGGGAGAGTCTGGTTGGACCTCAGAAGACCGGGATGCTGACAGGAATAGCCAATAAAGAACAGCCTCAAGAGTAGCTGGGCATGGGTCTATAATCCCAGCACTCAGGAGGCTGAGGCAGGACTGCTGTATAAGTTCAAGGCCAGCCTGAGCTACACATTGAGTTCAAGACCAGCCTGAATTACACAGACCCTGTCTAAAAACAACAACAACAGCAAAACAGGCTCAAGAACTGTCATATGGAAACAAAGACTGCGTTGGCAGTTGGACTCCAGACCCTGTGTGTTATGTTCTGGCAAAAACCTTGAGACTTTGCAGGAGACAGATCAAGGACGGTGGACTAATTAATGTGGTAGAGGAGATTTCATAATAGCCTACTGCTGAGGTTGTGGCATGGGTATTGTTGGCAGCTTTTAGCCACATATATGTTGAGAATCAAGAGCAAAGGGAGGGCCGGGGATATAGCTCAGTGGTACAGCGCCTGCCTGGCAAGTGCAAGGTCCTGAATTTGATTCCTGGTACTGAAAAACAAATGAAAAAAAAGCCAAGGGCACAGCTGAGTTGTTTTGGAAATTGTTCCTCTAGAAAGCAAGCTCCTGTAAAGTTGGGGCCTGTAAATTGGAGTGGAGGAGAGCTTGGTTGCTGAAGAGATTACCATTAAAATGAAGCCGGGGTGGAGCGTGGTGGCACAGGCTTTAGTCCCAGCTCTTGTTAGAGGCCATCCTGGACTATGTGGTGCGTTCAAGACTAGCCTGAACTACACAGTGAGATTCTGTCTCAAAAACAAAAAACAACAAAAAAAGAAGCCACCAAATACTTCACAACAGGACAGTAGGAAAAGTGGCTAGGACTCTGCAAGACCCTCCCCCTCCCAACTTCAAAGGCTCAAATTTTCAGAAATGAAACACTTTGCTTTAAGAAGAAAGCTCCAAGGCCCGGCGTGGCGGTGCACTCCTGTAATCCCAGTACTGAGAAGGCTAAAGCAGGAGGATCACTGTGAGTTCGAGGCCAGCCTGGGCTACAAAGTGAGTTGAAGGCCAGCCCAAACTGCATAGTGAAACCCTGTCTCAAAGAGACAAAAAAAAGAAGAAACCTCTATCCTGGGCAAAGTGGAGCCTGTAACCCCAGTATTAAGGAGGCTGATGCAGGAGGATTGCCATGAGTTCAGGTTCAAGACCAGCCTGAATTACATAGTGAAACCCTGTCTCAAAAGAAAAAAAAACACACACACAAAAGAAGAAAGCTCCTGGGCACCCTACTGAAGGTGAACTCCAGCCTAGGGCATTAATTCCTGGGGATTTGGTTCACAGTGCTCAGCCATCCAGGCACCCAAAGGCCCCTGCAGCCATGATGTAAAAGGGCCCAGCCACAGCTAGAGTTAGTGGGAGACCCTGGTACCATCCACATGGTGCTGGTTTTATGCCTTGCCACAGATTTCAGGAGGCCTGGGGAGCCAGGCAGTGTGCCCCTGAGAGGGCCACGTGGGAAGCCGTGAAAGTGCTGCCAAAAGTGTGATGGAGACCCCAGGAACGTGGGTCATCTGAGGAAAGCCTCAGGAGTGAGCAAAGCCAGCCCAAGAGAGAAGCCTTGAGGGCTACAGCCACACACAGTGCCATAGGGCCAGGCTGGGCCGGGCCGAGAGATAGCTCAGTGGCACGGCGCCTGCCTGGCAAGCGCAAGGTCCTGAGTTCAATTCCCAGTACCAAAAAAAAAATCATAGGGACAGGGTCACCCAAGCCCTTGGGACTCACGTCTCACCACACTTTGCCCTGCGTGCTGGTCGTGGGACCATGGGATGTAATGTTTCCCCGCTGCACTCTGGTCTTGCTCAGGTCCCAGTGATTTCTTTCCCCACCCCACTCCCCGCTTTTGGAATGGGGATGTTGGTCCTGTGCCGTTGTGTGTCACCAGTGGTTAGCTTTTCTAAAATGTTTATAAGGGCTCACAGCTAAGAAGAGTTCCCCTGAACTCTCCGGAGATTCTGGACTCTTCAGCCATGCTGGACTTTGGTGAGTTGTTGAGGTGGACTAAATGCATTTTGCATAAAGAGGTGTCCATGAGTCTTTTGGGGGCCAGGGCCAGAATGTTATGGTTTATACTTAGGTGTCCCCCCAAAGCCTCATGTGATTATAGTGGGACTTTGGAAAGTGGTTGAAGTCTAGTTGGCTTGCTGGTGGCAGGCGGGGCCTGGAAGGTGGCAGCTCTGTTCCCAGCCCCCACTTCATGCTGTGCTACCAGGTCGCAGGTCGCAGGTCACATACCATGAATTCTCTTAGGCCCTTCCACCCTGTCTTCCTGCCTTGGAGCAGGCCAGCTATAGACCAGCCTCTCCTTTAATTTGGAATGTGTCTCAGTGAGGAGGAAAGGGTGTGTATAAAAAGTTTCTCTCTAGCCAGGGTCGTGGGGCACACTTGTGATCCCAGCACTTGGCAGACTTAGGCAGGAGAATTGTAAGTTTAAGATTTCATTCTTGGGGTGGGGATTTAGCTCAGTGGCAAAGCGCCTGCCTGGCAAGCGCAAGGTCGTGAGCTCGATTCCTGGTACCGGAAGAAAAAAAAGATTTCATTCTTTCCATTTTTTTTAAAAAGCTATGTTAGATCCTTTACATTTCCATATGAAGTTTAGGATGTACTTGTCACCCTGTGTGCAAAACTGCTTGGATTTTCTTGAGTTTAGGTGGGATCTGACTGGCTTGAGACCGAGAGTCCTCGTGCATGAGCAGCACGTCTCCCGCTGTCTCCTTTCTGATCTCACAGATCTCACCTCCTTTCATCAGGTACCTCACTGCATACTTTCATTGCTGCTGTCAGCCACACTGTAGAGCTCAGCTTTCTGCTGCTCCTGCTACTTTACAAGCGAAAGTTACTTCTGCAGATTGAGTCTGGCTCCTGTACACTCACTATTGAGCTTGATTACTAGACAGACTTTCTGTAGGTTCTCGCTGACTTTTCACATAGAAGATCAGGAAGTGCAGGTGCGGTTCACTCATCCTTGTCCTTCTTCCTGCTTCTCTTTGCGTCATGTGTTATTGCCCAAGCTGTAGCCTCCGACGCTCAGGGTCACAGTGGTCATATCGCGTGTCCTGTGGCTTCTGTTTCCTTGAGCGTTTATACATTTGCCCTAAGTCAGTGTTTCTCCAGTGAGGAGGGAGCTGGCCCTTGCCCAGCCTGCGAGCCTCCTGGGGGGCCTCCCGGCTGGTTCCCTGGGGTGGGGCACATAGGAGTTGGCAGCTGGGAAGCTCCTCGGTAACTGCCACAGGCAGCCTCAGGAGACTCGGGGGCTTCACACTGGCCTTGGCCTTGCCCCGGGTGCTTCTTCCTCCGCCCTTCTTCCCACATCCCCGTCTCAGCTGTGGTGTGAGGACAGACAGGAATCCGAGCACAAAGCTGTGTGCCTTGGAGGCTGGTGACTCGGAGCGTGCTCTGGCGCCTCTTGGTGGTAGCACAACTGGTCAGACCCGCACAGATGCTCGGCCCGTAGCACCCTGTCCTCCCCAGCACCCCGCCTCGCCTCCCACGCCGAGGGAGTGTTGTTTGGGGAGGAGGGAGCTGGCTGGGCTCTGTGTCAGGTCCCCTCGGGGTGACAGCGGCGCCTGTGCTCGTGCGCGGTAGCTCACGTGGCTCCTGGTGTCCAGGGCTCCAGGTGGGGAGCCTCGTGTCTGATTGCCTCCTTGTTTTCTCCCGGGGAGGGCTGGCGCCCCGGGGGACATGGTCTGGCTTGGTGTGAGCAGCACCGGTCACCTGCCCAGGCATGGCCCTGAGCCTGCTGTCCCCTCCTTGCTGTCCTCTCTGCCACTGGCTGGGGCTCTAGTGCGTTGATGCAGCCATTCCCGTCTCTTGGTTGGAACTGGTTCATGATGATAGTTTCTCCCCAAACACTACTCTTTATTTTTATTTCTGTTTATTTATTTATTTTTTTAAGACAGGGTCTTGCTATGTAGCCCAGGCTGGCCTTCAACTCTCAGCAGTCTTCCTGCCTCAGCCTTGTGAGTGTTGGGATTACAGATGTGCTTGCTTGCTTGCTTGCTTGCTTATTTTAAGGGGGGAAAAGCTTATTTTATAGCTCACAATCTGCAGAGGTTTCGTCCATAGTTGGCTGCTCCAAGCCAGGTAGGGCGGCATGGCAGAGGGGGAATAGTCCTTGGTGTGGCAGGCAAAAGGCATGTTTTCCTTTCTCTTTTTTTTTTTTGGTCTTTTTTGAGACAGGATCTCACTATGAAATTCAGGCTGGCCTTGAGCTCGCTTTGTAGCCCAGGCTTGGTCTTGAACTCACAACGATCCTCCTGCCTCAGCCTCCTGAGTGCTGGAATTACAGGCATGCACCACCACACTCAGCCCGTTTTTATTTTTTGATGTATCAGTTTCCATGACTTCTGCTTTTCTCAGGCTCCTTTTATTCCATTTGAAACTTTGAGTTGAATGCTTGGCTCAGGGCTCCTCATCATCTTCCCCTTGGTATTTTGCCTGCACAGTTCTTGAATCTCAGCCTCTGAGTGTGTGTGTGTGTCGCGTGCGTGCATGGTTGTGCGTGTGTGTGTGAGAGAGAGAGAGACCACTGAGCCACACCTGCTCAATGAGGTAGGGGCGTCTTCTTGCCGGCCTAAGGCTCACTCTGAGCTGCTTGGGAGAAGGTTCCAGAACGCAGGTTGGGGGTGATTTTCGTTGTTTGACTTTGGTCTTTGCACAGCTCCATGCGTCATGGTCACATGAGGCTCTGTGGTTTCCTCACTCGGGGATTTGCAGTCATCTTGTATGTGTGTGTGTGTATGTGTGTATGAGGCAGGGATTCACTATGTAGCATAGTCTGGACTTGAACTCTCAGCCATCCTCCTGCCTCAGCCTCCTGAGTTCTGGAATTACTGGTGTGTGCCACTATGCCTGGCCCGCAGTCCACTCTGAGGCCTGACCAGCTCAGTCCTGTGTTCTCTGCCACTATGCTGGGCTGGCCGCGTCACACAGGGCTGGTGCGGGCTGGTGCCGGTCGGTCTTCTGCTTTCCGGGATGAGCACTTGTGAATGCACACTGTGCTCTCCCCTGCCGTCCGCAGTGTGCTTTGCATGCCACGCACTCGCGTCTGCGTGAGGGTACCCCTCGCCCTGCAAGCCCTGTTCCTAGCCTGTGGTGGCCCTATTCCTGGCCTGTGGTGGCCGTGCACACCTCTGCCCTGGATTAGTCCTTACTCTTTGACTTTTAGCTCTCTAGATTCATCCCAAAGCCCCAGGTGGAATCCGAGTTCTGCAGTATCTTTGGGGTGGAAACAGCCTGTTGGCCAAGCACTTTGCTGGACTGAACTTTGGCTGCTTTCCCCGGTGAGGTGGGTGTGTGGCTGGGGTGCCACGCACGTGCAGTGGCCTGTGCCCTGTCACTGTTCCGTGGTGCTGACTTCTTTCTCTCGCTACGTCAAGGCGTCAGTGTCTCTAGCAGAAGTCCTCAGCCACCATCTGTGGAAATGGAACAGGAGAAGGTGAATGTGAGCAAGGAGCTGGGCCCGGACTCGGCCGCGTACAGCTGCCCTGCGTGCCGAGGGGAAGGGAACTGGAGCTGCAGACACCCGGTTCGGGGCCGGGCCAAGGCCCGGAGCCTGTCGGCTTCGCCCGCCCTGGGCAGCACCAAGGAGTTCAGGTGGGCACCGTTCTGTCCCCACGTGTGTCCTGCCCAGAGGTGGGCTGGGTTCCAGGAGGGTGCCAAGCAGGGCCCAAGGGGCTGTGTGCCATCTGTCTGGCCATGCCATGTTCTGGGGGTCCTTCAGGAGTCAGAGGCTGGTTTTTATTTTGAGGGATAGTCTCCCTACGTAGCCCCGGCTGGGCTTGAAATTAGGATCCTGCCTCAGCCTCCCAAGTGCTGGTTCCTGGCATGCTCTACCATGCCCCTTGCCCTGCAACTGCTGCTCTATCTTCCTGTATCAGCACGGACCCACCCAGCCAGAGCCCACACCGACTCAGTGTCAGATTTGGCTAGGGGAGGAGGATCCCTGTCGCCTGGAGCACAGGCCAGTGGGTGGGCAGAGTGCAGCCTGGCCTGAGGCCACCCACCCATCACGTGCAGGGCCATGTACCTGCCACCTGACTGCCCGCTGGCCCACACCTGCAGTTGCCCAGGGTCACCAGTGGCCCTGTGGCTCCTGGAGTGTCAGTTTCCTCAGTGGTGACGTTAAACGTGGTGAGTCCCAGACGGAAGCTTGCATGGTACCTCCAGAGTGAGTTATATTTGTAAAATGCAAGACAATTTTTGGTGAAAACAGTTTTTATTTAGTTAGTTATTTATTTTTTGGTACCGGGAATCAAACTTGGGAACTTGTACTTCTCAGGCAGGCGCGATTCTGCTGAGCTATTTCCCCAGCCCCTGAGAACAGCTTTTAGAAGCAGGTGGTCCTGGCACTGAGTTACAGCTGAGCAGGAGCAAGGTGAGGTCCAGTTGCTCGAGATGGCCGCAGGACAACAGCTGTGTGCTGAAAATGTCAGAGAGCCAGAAGGAAGGGTTTTGAAAGCTCGCACCACGAGGAATCAATAAATGTTTGAGGAGATAAACTTTTCTTAACTTGATTTAAGCCCTGTGCAGTGTGTACGTGGTACTCATCAGCATCTGCAGCGCTCAGGTTTTTGTGCACCAGTTTAAAAAGCAGGGCTCTAGGGCAGTGATGACAAATCTTTCAGAGCTTCAGATCACACCAAACAGTGCAGCCCTGTGCTGTAGGGAGATGCAGATGAGAGAGACAGCAATGTACCAGGCGTTTCAGAGCCATCACCAGGCAGAGCTCATCACGTTGTACTCTCAGAACCCAAGATGCACTCAGCTGGTGTAAAGATTCCCACCAGCAAGGGCAGTACTGTCACCTGGCGTGTGCCACGCCACTCGCCAGGCAGCCTGTCTCCCCTGCACCCTACCCATGTGTGTCACTGTGGCTCTTAGCGGACCTGCTCTCGGGTTTTCCGTTTCCTCAGAGTCAGGGTTTTGTGTTTCTGTGGGTTCTGCTACAGCACCAGTTCTGTTCTCCAGGATGCTGAGCCTCAGACATGTCTGAGGTTGGGGCAGTCTCTGGTGGCAGTGGCCCAGTGAGGGGTGGGCGAGAGAGTGCCCACACTGCTGTCCTCCAAGGAGCAGGGCCCGCCTTGCAGACATCTTCTGCAGGGCAAACTACCTTCCCTGGCCGTGAGGCTTCAGTATTTTGTGACATTGACTTCTTGAGTAGGTCTAGAGCATGTGTGCTCACCCAGCGAGGCCCGTGGCACCTGCATGGCCTGCCCTCGTGTTGGTGGCCCACAAGAGGCCTCAGACCTGGAGAGCCCTTCCATGGACTAAGGGCGGGAGACGGCGTGGAGCCCAAGAGCAAGTGGGCTGGCAGATCCTCGGGCACTGGCAGCTGCAGCCTCCTCGAGGCTTTGAGCTGGGACTCCTGAGCCAGCTGTCTCAGGGCCACTGTGACCCTTACTGGGGTGCCTCTGACAGTGCTGCCCCTGGCTGCCTCTCTGCATGTGCAGTTAGCCATGTCACTTGGCAATTGTTGGAAAAGTTGGGATGTCATCCAGAGTGAACATTCCATGTAGAATTTTGTTTTATTTTTATTTATTTACTTATTTATTCTTTTCGAGACAGGGTCTTATTATGTAGTTCAGGCTGGCCTTGAGCTCACTTTGTAGCCCAGGCTGGTCTCAAACTCAGGACGCTCTTCCTGCCTCAGCCTCCCAAGTGCTGGGATTACAAGCCTACCGTTTACCACCACACCTGGCTTCCTGTAGGATTTGAATCTGAATGATTTAGGAGTGGTGTCCAAGGCCTTCCACCAACCATAGGCACAAAGACCTTTGGCCACATTCTGCACAGTGCAGGCTGCTGGGCAGGGCCCGCACCCCTTTGGTTTCGGGCTGGTGTTCTTGCGGTGCCATGTGTCTCACTGTGCGTGGACACCAGTGAGCCCTTGAACTGGGATGGATCTGTGTGGGTTGGAGCTAGTACCGTTCCAGTCATCCTACTCCCAGACCCATGTTTGTCAGCGCTCACACCCCTCACCTAACAGCAGCCCCACTGTGCCCCACAGGAGGACGCGCTCACTCCATGGACCGTGCCCAGTGACCACATTTGGACCAAAGGCCTGTGTGCTGCAGAACCCCCAGACCATCATGTAAGTGCGCCTGCAGGTGGGCGTGGCATGGGGCCGAGGTGGCCGAGAGTCACTGCAGCAAGATCCCCTGGGGCACTTTCCCCAATCCCTCTACTTTTGGGGTACATGCGGGGGGAACATGCTGCTCGCTTCTCCAGCAGTTTTGGAACATAGAAGGTAGATGACCTGGGCACTTGGCCACTGGATTCCCAGGGTGGGAACCAGGCCCCGCATATGGGTGAGCCTGCCCCTGCATGGGTGAGTGGCAATTGCGTGAGAGACGTGGCTGCTTCCTGTTTCTCACAGTAAGAACAGGGGCTGACGCATCATCCAGTGTGAACATGTGCGCCTCTCTTGCTTGTCCCCCAAGCACAGGGACATTAACTGGCCCCTTCTCAGTCATTTGTGTTTTTGTTGTTGTTTTTGGCTTTTTGAGACAGGGTCTCACTATGAAGTTCGGTGGCCTTGAGCTTACTTTGTAGCCCAGGCTGGTTTCGAACTCACAACAGTCCTCCTGCCTCAGAGTGCTGGGGTTACAGGCGTGCACCACCACGCCTGGCTGTCATTTGAAAGATACTCTGCACTCTCAGTTTTCATCTTGGTTTTGGGGCACTGGGGCCCAAGCCCAGGGCCTCGGCACCCCAGGTGTGTGCCCCGCCAGCTCCTGCGCAGCGCACTCCTGCAGCCTTGAGGGTGCCAGGAGAGGAGCTGCGTCAGAGGCAGCCTTGGCATCACTGCACCGCCTCTCTGGCCAGTGCTCTCTGCGGATCTAGGAGGATGACTGCATCTCGCCTCTTGTTCACAATGGTGTAACAGTGCTGGGAGTGTATGGGGGATCCACTCTGATCTGATGTTCTTGCTTCTGTTTGCTACCTTGGAATTCTTTCCCCGACACCTGTTTCACACCTGCCCCTTCCAGGGAGATCTGTGTCAGCCAGGTCCCCTCCCCAGTGGCGGATCACATGACAGCAGCTCACATGCAACCCTTGGCAGGCACTGGTGTGACCCATCACCAGACACCAGCTGTGGGCGGCCAGGTTGGGACCGTGGGTAAGCCTGCCATGCACACTCAGGGCAGCACAGTGTGGCACACAGGACACTTCCCACATTGGTCCTGCTCGCCTGAGGTGACCCTGTAAGACTGGGCTCTGACCGGCATTGGTGCTTTGAGCAGAGCCTTGCGCACCTGTGGGTACAGGCACTGTGACTTGCAGGGACTGCTGCCCAGTGAGGTGAGCGGGGAGGGATGAGGCTGGACCCTGGCCCTGCTCCCCTGTTCGTACGCCCAAGCCCTGACCCAGAGCCTCTGCTGCTCCACCACCTCCCGGTGACCCAGCTGCTGCTCTTCACCCCACCACTAGTTGCCCACCACCCCTGCAGCTCACTGGTGCGCAGCAGAAGGGGTCGCTGCAGCCTCCCGCCCTCGTTACCCTCAGCTCCTGTGGTCAGGCACAGGGTCACTGCCAAGCATGGGTCTCTCATTCCCTGGTATGCTCGGGCCACATGCGCCCCATAGCAGGGCACAAGGTGGCTTCTGAGCCGTTACTACAGGCTGGCAGCCCAGCATCTTTCCAGCCAAGTGGGCTTCTCCACCCACTCCCTCTCCAGTGTGTACCCTGGAGATAGAACTCGGATCCAGCCCTGTCAACAACCCCGTCCCTGCGTCCTGTGGCTAGATGGGCCATGTGTAGAGCTCACTCCACATGTATCCTGATATCCCAGAGGAAGAGGTGGTGGGAGGTAGACTGTACGGAATTTGACTCCCTGCTTATCCATGATTTCACCATGAGTGCATTTCTGCTGGCTGGGGCATGTGTCACCATCACCTGTCAGGTCACATGGCCCCTGGGTCCCTCGCAGTCATCCCAAGGAGGCTAGGGCCCTGCTGGCCCCACTACACCCTGCCCTGTGTGCCTGGCCGGTCAGCACCCCACGGTGCAGGTGACCCAGCAGGAAGTTGAGGAACTGGTTTGTGGTCGTGTTAGGGATGGAGGGACTGGCCCCAGTCAGTGTGGAAAGATGCTGACTGCCTGCAGAGCCCCAGGGCTAGCAGAGTCCCTTCCCTGGCAGCCAGGCAGGACAGGCTGTGTGCCAGTGGCCGCCCACACTGCCTCCTGGAGGCCATCCCCTAGGAAGGTTCAAGGAGTGCACACCTTTCACCTGATACCCTTTCACCGGCTGGCCTGAAAGCCCCTCCCATGGGTGGGCCTGCCGGTTCCAGTTCCACAGGCCCAGCAGGGGTGGAGAGTGAGGCGGCTGGAGTGGGGCCACTCTGCTCTCTGTTATCCTGGTATTTCTCTCTCTCTTCCTGACTTATAAAGTAGGCAGTTGGGCAGAAGAGCCATATGCACAGTAAGAAAACTATATTTTGATTTTCATAAATTAAGGAAGTCAGCTTCTATAAGATCTTTGACAAGTCTGACAAGTGTGCCTTGCTTTTAGTCCTTAGGGCACAGACATTGAGCTCTAGTATAAATGCAGGATTGGGCACGTGCTGGCAGGGCAGGGCAGCGTGAGTGTCTGTCCTCCTCAGTGGAGCTGCCCGGGATGCTGTGGATGCGACCATCTCCTCAGAGGTGGAGGCCACCTCGGTAGCTGCGTGAGTGACCGGGCAGGAGGGAGGCAGAGAGGATGCCATGGGCAGCCCCTCAGCTCCCAGAAGCGCCTGGAAAGGGTGAGTGTTTTGTGCGCTTCCGGTGGCCTCTCGGGCAGGGCAGGGCAGGCACTCTCTGCTGCCCTCAGCCCATTCACATTGCGTTCCAGCCGCTGTGGGAGGTCGTTCAGGCTCCTGGAGAAGCTGCCACTGGTGAGGAGTGGCTGCAGCAGGCCTCTCGGCCAGGCACTAGGGCTGGAAAGGGTGCTCCTCTGCTGCCAGCACTGTGGTCTTAAGTGTGCCGGGGGCCGGGGCTCTGTGGAGTGAGGCCCTGGGCCTGCCTGGTCATGCCACCTGGCCTAGCTGCACAGGTCGGGCATGAGCTCGCAGCCAAGGAGCGCGCTGTCCACACACTGGTGTTCTTGGGACTCCCGAGTAACAGGGATCACAGCTGGCTGGGGCCTGGCCTTGGGCAAAACACCCCTGCCCCTTGCTGGTGCCCATGCACCTGGGTCTGAGGAGCCTGAACAGGAGCAGTTCTAGTGACCCCCATGGGCCGCAGAGACACAAAGCTGGCATTTGCAGGACTGTTGCTCCCTTTAAACCAGTGGTTTCTACTGGAAAAATCAAGGCTTACCTAAGTTCCCACACTGGCTCTGCAAGGTGGGGCTGTGTGTCCTCAGAGTCCTGGGCCTGGCAGCCATCCACATGGCCCTGGGCCACTGGACTCTTTCTCCAGGCTCCACACAGCCCTGCTCTGGAGGGGCTCGGGCAGTGTGGGAGCTAAGCCTGGAGGGTGTAGGCCTGGAGGCAGACAGTGGGCGCAGTGGTTGGTGGGAGCTGGCAGGGCCCATGAGTGGAGCGGGCGGGTTCCTTGGAGTCTGTTGGCAGGTGAGGCTCCCCTGCATCAGGCTGCAGGATGACTGCTCGCTTTGAGGATTTCCTCCTCTTCCAAGTCGGAGCCTTTCCCTCTGGGGAAGGGAGGCTGCTCGTGCCAGCTGTCCTCCTCCTCTTAGGCACATCCAGGACCCTGCAAGCCAGCGGTTGACATGGAACAAGTCCCCGAAGAGTGTGCTTGTCATCAAGAAGATTCGAGATGCCAGCTTGCTACAGCCCTTCAAGGAGCTCTGCATGTACCTCATGGAGGTGAGCCAGGCATGGGCAGGGCAGCCTGCGAGGAGGGGCCCCTGTACATGGAGCAGGGCTTGGGACTGCTGATGGAAGGCCACATACAGGGCACCATGAAGACAGAACGCTGTGGGCCCACTGTTCTTGGCACTGGGAAGTCCGGGAGGGGCTGGGCTGTTGAGGCCTTGCTGTGTCTCCTTGGGACAGAGGGCTGGGGCACAGGAGCCTAAGGAGCCCACGCCGCTGTGGTGAGCCCACTCCTGCAGTGGCAGCCCTGGCATGCGCCTCGTGGCCTCTGTGATGCCCTCTCAGAACTGCTGGAAGGCTGCAGCGATGTCAGGTGTGTGCTGCTCTGTCCAGCCTGGCGCCCACAACCCAGAGGAAGAGGGGTTCCCTTCAGCGCAGTCTCTAGGGCTTCAATCCTAGTCTACGGCTCCGAAGCAGGAGCATGAGGCTGAGGGTGGAGCAGGAGAGGAAGCAGCGTGTGTGCACTGAAAGACACCTGCCAGGTACACCTGACAGCAGCCCCAGCCTGGCGTTGCCTGAAAATTCCTCTAAGTGCACCAGGCAGAGGGCGTTGCAGAGGGTTAGGAGGAGTGTGGGCCTTTAGGCCAGGAGCATGGCTCCCTGGACTGAGAAAGTGGCAGAAAGGGGATGGTTTGGGCACCTGGTTCTGGAAGTGCCTCTGCTGACTGACAGCTTGTTCCTGCCACAGTCCTGAGGTGACAAGATAGTCCTTGTTGGCAGGGCACAGTGGCAGGAGACAGCATGTGTGTCTGCCACTCTCTCCTCATAAAACCACTAGGACCCAACCATGGGCTCTTCCCTGCCAACCTGTTCTACCCTGAGGCCCCCAGAGGCTGACCTTTTCTACACTGGCCTCTTTGCCCAGGGCGGCAGATTGCATTGCAGCACTCAAGCCTTGGGGACCCACTCGGAGCTGCAGGGCACCAACAGCAGGGCGTCAACAGCTGTGCTCACTGCCCTTCTTGCAGGAGAATGGCATGATCGTGTACGTGGAGAAGAAGGTGCTGGAGGACCCAGCCATCGTGAGTGATGACAACTTTGGACCAGTGAAGAAGAAGTTCTGCACGTTCCGGGAAGGTAAGCCCCTCACTCCCCACGGTCAGTGCCCGTGGAAGCTGTAGCCCCTCTACAACACGCTGTTGGTTTCCCGTGTAGATTATGACGACATTTCCAACCAGATAGACTTCATCATCTGCCTGGGTGGGGACGGGACCCTGCTGTATGCCTCCTCGCTGTTCCAGGTGAGGCACCCTGCTCTGGCCAGCAGGCCCACTTCCTTCCTCTTATGTCCTTTGCAGCTTCTCCTCTCAGATGCCCTGGCCCCAGGACTCAACATTAGCCATCACCCTCTGGGTTGGGATACCCCCACAAACAGGACCCCCAGTCTCGGGGCCCCCATGCCCAGAACATCATCCCCACACCAGGGTGCCCTGTACCTCTTCTGGGCCTGCGTGTCCCCCACATTGCCCCTAGGTGTACACAGCCCCCACAGCCCAGTCTTCAGGATGGGACTCACCCCAGGGTCTGCTGCTGTGATCGGCATGGGGCCTTCTCATGGCTGTGTGGACCCCAGCTGACCATCCCCACCCACAGGGCAGCGTGCCTCCTGTCATGGCCTTCCACCTGGGCTCCCTGGGCTTCCTGACCCCGTTCACCTTCGAGAGCTTCCAGTCGCAGCTGACCCAGGTGATTGAAGGTGCGTTGGGGTTCAGAGCCCATGGCACTGGCGGGAACCTGCCCTCCTCTTGGTCTGCTGGGCACTGGTAGCCATTTTGTTAACGACGTGTAGAGCAGCACTTTGCAAGTTTCAAGATTGAGGGATTTCTGCCGGCTGTGCTGGTCTGTCAGCCCAGCACTCAGGAGACTGAGGCAGGAAGATGAGGAGTTCAAGGCCAGGTTGAGATACATAATGAGACCCCCCGTCTCAAAAGAAAAAAAATCAAAGACCTGCAGGAAGTTCTGAAGTTCTGATTGCTTGACATCATCTCACCAACAAGAGGGTTTGGGCTGGAGCAGCCCTGGGGTGCAGCGGAGGCAGCCTTGTTCTCATCACTGTGCTTGGGAGCAGCATGAAGAGACCCCGTGCTGCACCCCACGCCCACTGACCCTCTGGCCCTCAGGGAACGCTGCTGTCGTGCTCCGGAGCCGGCTGAAGGTCAGGGTGGTGAAGGAGCCCCGCGGCAAGAAGCTGGCCGAGCACAACGGGCTCAGCGAGAACGGGCTGCCCGGCCCCCCGCTCGAGGGTGGGAAGCAGGCCATGCAGTACCAGGTCTGTCGGCCCTGGGCGCCCACCTACACCCACCCCGGGACCTTCCCCACCACCTCCCTCTGAGCACTGTCCCCTCCAGGTCCTGAACGAGGTGGTGATCGACAGGGGCCCCTCCTCATACCTGTCCAATGTGGATGTCTACCTGGACGGGCACCTCATCACCACCGTGCAGGGCGACGGTAAGGCGCGGTGTCAGCCGGGGCTCTGCGTGCGGCTGGCAGGCCGAGAGATGCCTGACGCCTGCCTTTCCCCTCAGGAGTGATTGTTTCCACCCCGACGGGCAGCACAGCGTACGCAGCCGCAGCCGGCGCCTCCATGATCCACCCCAACGTGCCAGCCATCATGATCACGCCCATCTGCCCTCACTCGCTGTCCTTCCGGCCCATCGTGGTCCCCGCAGGGGTGGAGCTGAAGGTCAGAGCAGGCCCCTCTCCTTTTTCACTGTGTCACTAGGCCATCTGCCACAGCCCTGCCACAGGCTGACCCACAGTCCCAGGCTCCACGGCACCCTGGGAGCCCCCTGCGTGGTCAGCCAGAGGCGCCGCATATCTGCCCCGGTCTCAGGGACACAGGGCTGCCAGCTGCTTGCAGGCTCTTAGCAGCAGGGTGGGGACGCCTGTGGGGCCCAGGTGAGGAGAAACCCCTGCCAGGTACCCTGACCCCTGAGCTGCCTGTGCCCTGCCGTGGGCTCTCTTGGACAGGGCCCCCTTGCTGCTGGGTGCCTGGCACTCTTTCCCCAGCACCTTCCCTGCCTGGACCCACCCTTGTCCCCACTTGGCCCTTCAGATCATGCTCTCGCCAGAGGCCAGGAACACTGCCTGGGTGTCCTTGGACGGGCGGAAGCGGCAGGAGATACGCCATGGAGACAGGTGTGCTGAGACAGGTGGCCGTGTGGGGTGGCAGAGGTCCCTAGGGTCTTGGGTGACAGGGCCAAGGTCCTCAGTGGCCCCACCTCCTGGCCCTCGTGCCCCCCACAGCCAGCTTTGCTGGCCCCACCTGGGGAGCCTTTGCAGAACCTGGTGGTGGCAGTGTGGGTCCTGGCGCTGCCTGGCCCGCCTCAGCCCTGCTGCGATCAGGCGAGCGGGTGCAGAGAGGGCTCTTGATGGGCGGTGGGCGCAGGCTCAGCGGCTTCACCTCCCCCCGGCAGCATCACCATCACGACTTCCTGCTACCCGCTCCCCTCCATCTGCGTCCGTGACCCTGTGAGTGACTGGTTTGAGAGCTTGGCGCAGTGTCTGCACTGGAACGTGCGGAAGAAGCAGGCCCACTTCGAGGAGGAGGAGGAGGCGGCGGCGGTGGACGAGGAGGAGGGCTAGGCGCGCCAGCTCTGCTGCAGATGTGTCAGCTCCACGCCGGCCGGGCCCTGCTGGGCTGCTGCACACCAGAGCCTGGGTCCACCTTTTGTGACCAGATCAGCTTTTTAACATTTTTAAATCTGACTTTTTACATTTCTGATGAAGCAAAGTGAGTGTGGACAGGGAGCTGGCCGCCCCCAAAGCAGGGCCCTTTGACTGCAGGCCAGGGCTTCCCACAGTCAGTCTGTTGGAGTCCAGGTGGCCAGGATGAATTGATCTGTCCCTTGATGTCAAATAAATGCCTCAGCCAAAAATCTTCCTTTAGCGGCAGTGCTTTCCCCTGGGCCTGTTACCTTCTCCCCTCAACTCCTAGGGGCTCCGGCTTCGCTGTGGAGCGCAGGGCCCCCGGACCCCACATTCCTTCCACTAGGTGGTGGCAGCAGCGGCAGCTCCTGGGAGGTGTCTTAAGTCCTGTGCACATTTTCTAGAGGTTCTTTTACACTTTCTGAAGTGCTTATGTACATATTTTCTTGTACACACTTTGTGAAGCTGGGCAGGAGGGCCGTCCCGTCCCAGGTCCTGTTTACCTCGTGTCCAGGAGATAGCTGCCCCGGGTCGGGGCCCTGTGCAGACCTGCAGGGGCCAGCTGCGTGGTGCTGTGGGCAGCAGGAAGATCCCCCCCAACGGGAGTCTCATGCTGGAGGAGCTCCCAGCCCACCCTGAGGTGCAGGTGTGGGCAGAGCCGAGTACTTTCTTCTCCATGGGTCCTTGCTGGGTGTGATCCCAGCTACTCAGGAGGTTGAGGCAGGAGGAGCACAAGCTCAAGGCCTGCCTGTGTACCTCAGCGAGACCCTGTCTCAAAATGAAAAAAGTGCTGGGAAATGCTGCCCAGCAGAGACCACATGCCTCGTGCTTGAGAGGCCCTGGGTCCTGTCTCCCAGTGTGGCCCCAGGACCCAGGGGCCCTGGTCGGGCTGACCTTGGGGCTCATGTTCCTGAGCGGGGCGCAGCCCACTGTGAGGGACAGGTCACCGGTGTAGACGGAAAGCGGGTGATGCCCAAGCGGTCCTCGTCAGCTCCGCCCGGGCTGCGTGAGAACACTTGGGCTTTTGAAGTAAATTCTTAATGTTTCATATTGTTAATATCCTGGAAATTTGTTAATTGTTGCTGAAAGCCTTATTACTATTTTCAGATCCTTTCAATAAACAGACTTGTAAAAAAAGAGAGTTGAAGATCTGCTTTCTCCTGTCTGAACCAGATCACACTCTCCACCCTCCCTGGGGAGTTGCCCAGCCTTCCCGGGGATCAGTGCACCCCAGAGGGACCCTGCACAGGGAGGCGGGGGGCACCGGGAACTGGGGCTGACCCTCCTGGGGGCCGAGTGAACACGAGGTGGGCTGGAACCACCTGGGTGCCAAAGAGCCGCCCCCGAGGGCCATGGTGTCCCCACCTGTCCCCCGGAAAAGGTGCTGGGACTTCTGGGGCTGCCTCAGGCTCAGAGCCCGGTTTTGCCCCACAGGCTCTGGAGCTGAGGCTGTGAGGACAGTAACCGCCTCCCGCCACATACTGGGGGGCTCTGAGTGCCACACGGCGGTGCAAGCAAGGGACACCAGGGACTTCCGGGGGACGCCCTCGGCGCCACAGCCCACCAGGCCCCAGCACCATGGGGCTCGCTGGGGCCCAGTCTGTGCCTCCTCCTGTCCTCAGTCCAGCTAGGCACTGGCATCTGTCACCCTCCTGGCCCTCAGTGGCCACATGCAATGGCCAGCAGCCCTAGGTCATTGACACCAGGACCTGGACTGCTACTGACTGCGTGAACAGCTGGAGGCCTGGTTATCCGTGTCCCTAGGCTTCCTGTGTGTGGGAAGCAGCGTCTCTCCCCAGACCTGGCCCCAGGTGGAGCCTGGTACCCAAGCCACTCTGCTCTGCTCCTGCCTGGGGCCTGCAGCCCCTTAGAGACCAGGACACACAGCCAGTTGACCAGAGGTCTGGGCCAGAGGCGACCACCAGGTCAGGTGCCCATACCAGGGGCCAGTCTGCAGCAAAAGCTGTTGGTGTCACCCCTCCACCTGACCTCCGGGACACAGGTATGGCCAGGTCACAGCAGCAGCCTGGGAAATCTCTGGCACCAGCAGCAGGGCCCCTGCCCTGCCCTGGCCTCGCTGGCCCTTCTCAGGCCGGGCTGAGGTTGTGTGGTGGTGACAAAGCCCGGGCCCAGGCCGAGGGTGCAGTGTGGGGGTGGCAGAGGGTCTGAGGCTGCTCACCCAGGGGACAAGTCCAGCTACTTCTACTATATTCTGTCCCAGAAAGACCCAGGCCGGCTTTCAGAGACAAGAAGTCCCTTTGGTAAATGAGGCCGTCCCTGGGGAGCCCATGTGGGACTGCACTTGGGAACCTCCACCACCAGGACAGAACTCCAGAGGAAAGCATGTGCCCTCCAAAGCGAGGTCCACGGGCCAGCCAGAGGGGACTCACAGCAGAAGGACACAGGTCACAGTGCCGCCTCCCCAGCCAGCAACTCCATCACACCCCACCAAAGTTGTGGGAACCAGGATCCAGTGCCCATCTGTATCAGTCAGGGTTTACTAGAGGAACAGATATAATACAAGATAAACAAATGTACAAGGAATTACAAGCTTCGCTTACAATGGTCAGCTACAGAGTTGGATGAGGAAGCGTGCAGAGGGTGTCTGCACGCTGGAGATTGAAGAGCCCAGCCCCGGGCCTGGAGCTCGCTGCAGTGTCCGTGCAAGTCCGCATCAGGGGGCTGATGGGTCTGCGACGGAATGCTGAAGAATCTACGATGAAGGCCGGAGAGCCAACACCAGAAGGCTGAAGAATCCCAGATGGAAGCCCAACAGTCTGCACCAGAAGCCAGGAGATGACCAAGCTGAAGGCGAAGACGGAAGACCGGAGCTCCTCCGGAGAACCAGCAGCCAGTCCTTCCTCTCAATTCCTTTTATTATGCAGTCTACCGGCTCTGGGGAGGTGGGGGTCATCCTCCACACCCACACCCTCTGCATGCCTGCCTCTTGCACAGGCTCAGGATGAATACAAAGTAAGCACCCTGGCTCCCTTCTGAGTCACATAGTTAACCTTCTAAACTTCTCAAATTAACACAATAAACAACATCCCAGAAGGGTAAGGAGTGTCCTTTTCACCCCAAGAGGCAGAACTGCTGAGTCTCTTAGCCAAACCTCTAGATTCCCCAAGTTGACACAATGTATCAACCATAACACCATCTATCCACAGAGGGTCACCAAGAAGAGGTAACAATGGGTAGAGACAGGGACACAGACAGAGACACGGGGAAACACATGGAGATACACAGATAAGGGGCTGGGGATTTAGCCCAGCAGCACAGCGCCTGCCTGGCAAGCACAAGGTCGTGAGTTCGATTCCTGGTCGGGGGTGGGGGAGTGGGGACAAACAAAGGAGATACACAGATAAGAGACAGACATAGGAACCTGCAGAGAGACACAGAGGCTGCTTCTGCTTCTCTCTCTCTCTTTTTTTTTTTTTTTTTTTTTTTGGTCTTTCTGAGACAGGGTCTCGCTATGCAGTTCAGGCTGGACTTGAGCTCACTTTGTAGCCCAAGCTGGTCTCAAACTCAAAAAGATCCTCCTGCCTTGGCCTCTGGAGTGCTGGAATTACAGGCGTGCACCACCACACCCAGCTCTGCTTCTCTTTTTGAACCCAGACCTTCCCACTGAGTTACATCCCTAAACCTTTTTATTTTTTTCAAGACAGGGTCTTGCGGGCTGGGGATTTAGCTCAGTGGCACAGTGCCTGGCTGGCAAGCACAAGGTTGTGAGTTTGATTCCTGGTACCAGGAAAAAAAAACTGAAAACAAAAAACAGGGTCTTCTAAGTCCCTAAACTGCCCAGGCTGAGCTCAAGCTTGTGATCTCCTGCTTCAGCCTCCCACAGTGCTGGGATCATAGGAGTGTGCCACTGTCCGGCCGACAGACACTTCCAGGCCTTCGATCAGCTTTGACTGTGTCCTCTAAGCTTCCTGTGTTGAAGTGCAGTCTCCACTGAGAACACAGAGGTGGAACTAATCGGACTACAAGCTCAGCAGGATCCTGGGGTGATCAGGGTTGGGAAAAGGTCATGGGCAGAGGGGCAGGAGGGGCAGCAGGTCGAGTCTAGCAGCTTTGGGCAGCAGGCAGAAGCAGAGGCCACACATGCCCTTTTACCACGAGGCGCCAGGGGAGGACCCTGACCTTGGGTGGAGCCTGTGCCAGGACAGATCTCTGTCCCATAACTGCTGTATCATCAGCCACAGGAAGTGAACGCAGGCCTGGCTCTGCAGAGGGCGGCCCTGCCCTGCCACCTGGCTCCTCTGGCCTCAGCTAACCCAGGTGGGAGCTGGAGGTGGGATGGTGGCCAGGCTGCCTCCACCTGGATATCAGCAGTAGAAAGGAGGTGAAAATGTCCAGCTGCCCAGGCCAGTGAGCCACAGCTACCCCGTGGGCACCCCCGACCCAGGCAGGGACTGGGGAAGACACCACAGCTAGCATAAGGGACAGTGAGGGGCGGCTACAGGGAGGGGCACTGCAGTGGGTACCTGGGGCCAGCGGCACAGGACACGAGGTTTGTCCCTCGGGGGAACCATGGGCAGAGGCCCTTTGTGAAGGACAGTAGGGAGAGGAGGCTCTGTCCCGAGCTCTGAGCACAGGACATGACATGACCGGCAGTGGGGACTGGCTAGGGGCTGTGGGGTTGCAGGTGGGCGGCATCGCCTCCCCAGTCACTAGGCCAGGACAGACCCCATCCTAGGGGCTCCAGGTGCTCCAGTCCTCACCATCCCTCTGGGAAAGGCAGCTCCTGGGGACAGAAGGACCCGCGGCTCCCAAGCCTGCTGCTCAGTGCACCAGCCACACTGGAGAAAGCAAGGCCCTGCTCCTTCTGCTCTGTCTTCCAGTTTCTAACAGTGCTTTTCCTTCCAGGTTTTTAATTGTATTTTTTTTTGACACAGTCTCACTATGCTGTTTAGGCCGGCCTTGAAACCACTATGGAGCTCAGGCTGGTCTTGAACTCATAGAGAGCCTCCTGCCTCAGCCTTCCCAGTGCTGGCATCACAAGCATGCGCTACCACACCTGCCCCTCCTTTTAAGGGAACTTTCATAGGCCTTGGCCATCTAGTGAGCACCATCTCCTCCCTGGCTCCAGCACTGGGCCCAGCCACAGCGGAGCGTGTGGGGCTGTTCCCACTCTGCCAGGGAGCTGCCACGTTGCCAAAAGCAAGCCAAAGCCCTTCATCCTTACCCAGGTCTGACCCCAGCGCAGCAGAGGGCAGCTGGGCTGCAGGGCCGTGCACATCCCCTAAGACAGAGGGTGGAACTCGGGTCTGGGAGGCCAACCAGCGAGTGCCTCCCTTGGTGGCTCCACTAGCCTCACTTCTCTTCCTTTTTGTCTTTCTGGTACTGGGAATTGAACCCAGGATGTTCACACTGAGCTACATCGCCAGCCCTTTCTGTACTTTTTATTTTAACGCAGGGCCTTGCTGAATTGCCAAGGCTGACCTTGAGCTGCAGTCCTTCCTCGGCTGCTATCACAGGGCCCTCCCCTGCTCTGGCTCCCTTGCAGCTCTGTGACCTCGCTCTTCTGAGCTGGTCCCAGAAACTGGCTGTGGACCACAAAACTGATCCCAAACTGGCAGGTAAGAGAACACCACAGGTATGGTGGCGTACACGCTATCCCAGTACTTGGGAGGCTGAGGCAGGAGGATTGTCACAAGTTTGAGGCCAGCCTGGGCAAAATAGTGAGACCCTGTCTCAAAGACAAAACCAACTATATATATGAGAGAGAGAGAGAAAAAGAGAAAGAGAGAGAGAGTCAAACAGCTTATCTGACAGTCGCTGCCAGGACAGCAGGCAGCCTGCCAAATCCTGCCCCCAAGTGCTGACCTGGTCCTCTTATAAATATTCCCCCACTGCCCAAAGGTGTGAAGGAGGAGCTGAGGCATTAAAACCTCAACCCCTCCCAGCTGCCGGCCTCCACCATTATACCCTCTCTCCCTAGCACTCGACCCTGGATAGGCTTTCCCAAGGAGGGTCTAAGCTTCCGAATCTGAGTTCTGTTACAAAAGTTCACAAAATCCACACAAAACACGGCTAAATTCCTGAGCCTGTTCTCCCAATTTTGTTTTTTGTTTTTTGTTTTTTTTTTGCTCTTTTTGAGACAGGGTCTTGCTATGCAGGTCAGGCTGGACTTGAGCTCACTTTGTAGCCCAGGCTGGTCTCAAACTCATAAAGATCCTCCTGCCTCAGCCTCCTGAGTGCTGGGATTACAGGCATGCGCCACCACTGCCGGCTGTTCTCCCAATTTGTGATCCCCCTCCCTCAGCTTTCCAAGTAGTTGGACATGCCGGGTGTGGTGGCACATGCCTGCAATCCCAGCACTCAGGAGGCCGAGGCAGGAGGATCTTTATGAGTTTGAGACCAGCCTGGGCTACAAAGTGAGCTCAAGGCCAGCCTGAACTGCATAGCAAGACCCTGTCTCAAAAAGACAGAAAAAAAAAAAAAAAGTCATACTAAGTAGCTGGGATTACAGGTGTGTGTGACTATGCTCAGCTCAGCCTATATTCTTTCATCCCAAGATTTGATTTCTTGGGCTCCTGCCAAAGGAAGAAATTTATTTAATTTTTAAAATATTTATTTGTTTATTTATTGTCTTTTTGAGACAGGGTCTCACTATGCAATTCAGGCTGGCCTTGAGCTCACTATATAGTCCAGGCTGGTCTTTAACTCACAAGAATCCTCCTGTCTCAGCCTCCTAAATACTGGGATTACAGGCCCTCACCACTACACCTGGCTACTACTCCCGTTTTCTATATTTTATTTTGAGATAAGATCTCACAAGGTTGTACAGGCTAGGAAGAAACATAAAGGCCTGCAAATTCAATAAACAGAGACCACAGCGACCAGCTGGTATGGTGTCCCTGCTGGGCAAAGGCTCTGGGCGCCTCTGCAGCCATGGCAGTGGCCTGGTCTGAGCATTCAGAGCCCAGGGCTGCTGCAGGCTCCGCCTCCGGCCCAGTGGGGCTGGGGACTCTGGATGGAGCTGCGGAGGCCCTCAGGCACTGTGAGACTCCCATTGGTCCCTGGCAGCACCCCTGTGAGAGCCACAGCCTCGGAGCTTTGCCATAAGCATGCTTTTGAAGTCACTCAGCTGCGTGCCACTCACTGTGTGGCCAGGACTGGCAGGAGCCTGGGTCCCCGGCCTCCGTTCAGAGTGCAGCAGGGGGCTCTGGCCTCAGGTGGAGACTGCAGGGGTCACTGGGCCCAGGAGGGGCCGGAGCCATTCGGCCCACGAGCCCGATAGCCGGGAGATGAGGGTCCCCGCGTCCCAGGTTCCCACTGGCCCAGGTCACAGGTGCTCAACTTGCAGGAGTTTGGGGTCCCTGATTCTGCAGCTATCCTCTCTGCTGCAAAGCCTGACGTCAAGATTGTCACTAGGAAAGGTCCAGTGGCTTCCTCCTTTTTGCTTTTCTGCAGTAAGGACTGAACCCAGAGCCTTCAGTCCGACCTCCATCTGCAGCCTGGTTTTAAATTTTTTTTCTTTTTCTTTTTTTTTTTAGCAAGGCTGGTCCAGCTCTGACGGTTTTAAATTTTTTTGGAGACAAGATCAGCCCCTAAATTGCCCAGACTGGGCCGGGGCTTGCCATGCTCCTACCTCAGCCTCCAGGAGTGTCGGGGTTACAGGTGTGCCACCTGGTTGCTTGGAGGCTTTTCCTGGAAAACAACTAAGGAATTTACATCCGGGTATCTCCAAGATTGACCAAGTCATCCGGACGCTGAATTTAGGCAACAAATGGCATGAGGTTCCTATGTAAGTAAACATTTCACTTCCGCTTCTTTCGCTTTCCTTCTTTTTTTTTTTTTTTTGTACCAGGAATCGAACTCACGACCTTGCACTTGCCAGGCAGGCGCTTATGCCGAGCCATAGCCCCCGTCCTTTCTTTCTATTCTTAGGCCCAAGCCCTTGACCAGCTTCCAGGAATGCTGCCCTCTTCCACCCCTGGCTGTCAGGGTTCGGTCCCACCACAGCACGAGGGGAGGTGCCACCATCCGGCACCCAAGGCCCACCTGCCCTCCCTTTCCCTCCCCACCTGTGGGCTTTTCGGGGAATCCCAAGGAGGAAGCCACCTAATAACTGACTTCTGGGCAAGATCTGAAGAAGCTTTATTAACTTTAAACAGTGTAGGAGTCATCTTTAAAAAGTGCCTTTTGGGGCTGGGGATTTAGCTCAGGGGCACAGCGCCTGCCTGGCAAGCACAAGGTCAAGAGTTCGATTCCCGGTACCGGGGGAAAAAAAAAAAAAAGGGCCTTCTGCCAGGTGTGGTGGTGCACGCCAGGAATCCCAGCACTCGGAAGGCTGAGGCAGGAGGATCTCCGTGAGTTGAGTGCAGCTTGGATTACATAAGCGAGGTCAAGGACAGCCTACACTACACAGTGAGACCCTGTCTCAAACAAAACACAACACAAAGCAAAGTAAGTCTAAGCAAAAGCGCCTTCCAAAGAACTGGAAGAGGGCGGCACTGGGCGCTGCCACGGCGCTCCCAACAGCGCCCCCGCGTGGCCACTGGCGCGACTGGACGTCCAGGCGGAGCCAGGGTTCCACGTGCCCAGGGGCGGAACCTCCACGGCGCAGCCAATCCGCTGCCCCAGGCCTGGGTCGTGGCGGCACCGCGACGCAGGCGCACTCCGCAAGCGCGTTGTGTGGTCAGTGTCGGTCGCCCAGGCCCGGCTCGGCGCTGTCGGGTTTCTGGGTCTCCAAAGCCGAGTTCTGTCCGATTCAGGGGCCGGCGCCGCGGTCTGACCCCGCCCACGAGCG